CTTACGCTGCAAAATTACAGGTTATGCAATAATCACTTTTCGGAACGTTGTTATGCAAATTCGAAAGATTTGAGACTTGTTCGTAACGCAGTTCCAAATAGATTTATTGAAATTGAGTGTACCGGGGGGGAAAGCTCTATCGAAAATGTAGCACCAGTTATTCCTGATAGTTGGGTGGAAAATGTTCCATTAACTACCAGTAAGTATATACAAACTAACATTATTTGTAAATAGAGTTCTTGTGTTATTATTATTTTTAGGTGATATGACTGATAAATGCCAGCCAGGCACATCGAATCAACCTCCAGTAACTCCTACTAGAAAGTTGTTTCGAAGTGTTGAAGGGTTGAGCAATATAGAAAATTCCCCAAGGAAGTTAAAATTAATTCGCATAATCAACAGAAAAGAAAATCAGTTGAGAAAAGTGAAACGTTTGTGTAAGAAGAGAGGCAATGACATTAAAGCTTTGGCAAATTTATCGGACTCAGCCGTAGTTCACGGATTGTTTCAAGACATGCCATCATTGACCTCCAATTTTCTGTTGGCTCAAATTAGATGCTCAAAAAGCAAAGGGTCGAAAGGAAGAAGATGGACTTTTGATGATAAAATTATGGCTCTTGCTATTTATAAAAAAAGTCCTAAATGCTACCGAATGCTCCAAAAATTTGTATGGCTACTTAGCAAAAAAACCCTTTTGTCAATGCTGGGAAAAGTTCCATTTCATGTTGGGATTAACGAACATCTGTTCTCGCATATAAATGAATCGATTGAAGGTTCTGCAGACAGATGTTGCGTTCTTCTATTCGATGAGATGGATATCCAAGAGAACATTGAATATGATCTTGGCAGCGACAACATTCTCGGATTCGAATATTTCGGTGAAAGAACATCTAGTAAACCCGCCAATAAAGCCTTATTGTTTATGCTAGTAGGGCTAGCAAAAAAATGGAAGCAACCCGTAGCATACTTCTTTGCAAGCAATGGGTGTAATGCGAACAATTTTGAACATTGCTTGTTTCAAGTTCTTAAAGCGGCGAACAATATTGCAAAAGTTGAGGTCGTGGTAGAGAATAGCTTCCTGGCAAAAGACGCTTGGTGCAACCCATAGTCAAACTATGCGATATTCCTGGACCATCGCTTGAATGTTAATTGTAAGGAAGTGAGATGTAGATTTAGCAACCTATCAATTTTTAGACTCCAAAGACACTCTTTCCAGGGAGAGCAGCTCAAATCACACAGCATCAGCACCTGAATTGTGTACCCCGAAAAAAATTAAAGGTACGTTTGTATTAAAATGAAAGTACTTTAATAATTTGTATTTATGTGCATAGATGATATT